CATGTTCGATATAATCAACTTCTTGTCGATGCCAATAGATGCCTTTGAAAAGGAGTAATAAGCCATACCCACTCAAGGGTAGTTACCTCCCATATTCTCCCAAGAGAGACGCCCCGACTCAGCGGCCTCCCCCAGTAGATCGGTCGCTGCTGTCGAGACACCACTCCAAGAAGTCTACCGAATTTCGTGCAGATTTCACTAATGATACTTCGATCGAATTACAATAAGAAAATCAATCCCTACAAAGTAACGCTTATCCACGCTATAGCACTTCTAAGAAACTTTTTATTGCAGTCGCGCGCGCCATTATGATCGATTGTGTGTCATTGGAGAGAAATACTGCTTGGTTGAGCAGGTTATCCTGTCGCATCTCATCGTTGTCGATGCTACAGTTAAGGCTGGGAAGCCAACTACTTCTCTTTTCCATGCCCGAGTATTTCAGAGGCTCACCAGCTGAGCTTATCACTGGACGGGTAAATGATTTACTTTATCATCCTTCCTTGAATTCTATGCTTTACCGTAAATCACACAATTCAAGTAAGAATGATGAGGTTCAAGAAGCTTCAGAGATACGGTTACCTTATATACCACTTTTATAACAGTTCGGGGATCTGGCTGCCCTGTTGGCTTCCAAGACGAGTTGTATGAGAGTTCCCTCTACCACGCGACGAGTTCGATTTACCTGTTTCCTTGGATTTTGTACTTCCCATATCACCCACAATAGAACTCTCAGGGGATGTGCCAATAATCATACACGCTGACTCTTCTACATCAGTCTTGACTACTGTAGTAGTAAATTGATTGTATATGTCCACAGTAGCCGAGTTCCCTCCAGAGAGGTCTGTGCCTCTCACTGAGGAGGCTCTAGTTCTCGAGAAACGACTCATACAAGAAATACAGCAACTAAACACCACAGAAGACGCGATAACATTTCTTCGCCGAATTATTGTAATACCATAAATCGAGCAACTCGCCATGCCATCGATACGTTCAGTCGGAACTTCGTAGCAACACCACTCTACGCCAAGTTGCTCCCGGCCTTCTCAGTCCCCTGATGGATCTGGCCAAAGGGAACCTCCTTGAGGAGTCCCTCGAGGGCAGGAAGATACTAAAAGATACCATGTACGTCGGGAACCCAGAAGTCGACGATGCCACTGTTGCCTCTCCTCAGATGCGAGATAGCAGTCGTATCCCGTCCTCGAGAGTGCTACACCTTCCTTATGGAAGCACTATCCCTTCTACCCGATAGAGAGGTAGTATCAACTCGCACACTATCCTCTTACATATAAGGCAGGCTCGAGGGACCACCACTACCACCTTTGTCGCCGCAGCAGCTCTATTGCGGGGCCTCTCACGCCTCATGATCCGGGTAGAGTCGGGCCGTATGAAAAGCGATAGAGCAAGGTGATAGGGTCTTCCCAATAGGCTCCTTGATAACGTCTATAGGCGTGCATGCTTTCATCTCAGGTATCTAGTCGGTATAGTAGCGATGATACAGCGTAAGTTTTTCGCCCAGTCTAAGGACGGCAGTCCTTCGTATTGGAATGTTTCCAACGACTGTGAACTCCTAGAGGAGATCTGTGGTGCATGTATAGAGCTCATCACCACCTATGGCTATGATGCTAAGGTCGGTGCTGCTTTACAGGAGGATCCCAAGGAATCTTCATGTCGACTAGAGGTACCGAGATGATCTTGGTTAGGAGATGTTATCAACCGTTAGTCCCATCAGGTTTTAACATCACTGGCGTGCTTGGTTTCAGAGGAGCTCTGTCGTGGGGTGTCCAAGAGCAGAGTAGGTCTGCCCTTGCTCGGGGATAGTCCAGAGGAATACAAGCTACAGGACAACACTGTTGGCAGGCTTCTCAACGATGGTACTGTTCTGGTGCTGTTTCCTCAGCTGTTTACTGACTAATCATAGGAGTTCATCTACGAATTGGGAGAATATTTACGAGGAGTGCGCACAAACTAACAAGAGTTTTCCAAAATTTCCTCAGAGTTTTGATATTGTCACCAACACATGTGGTTGACCATGTGCAAATTTTACGACACTGGCAGTAGTAGTGTCGTCTTATCCCATCTCAGTGAACTGTGCCGTCTACCACTCCCCGGGTATACTCCAATACACCTACAGTAGAGTCCTCACTCTAGTACCACACGAGGAGACGGGGTGAGGCTATCTGCTACTACTGTGGTAGTGAATATAGATGCAGCACAGGTTGATGCAGAGTAGTGACGGCGTGAGCGCGCTGGATATGGCCCGGTCGAGGTTGGGCTGGCTGGTCTTGGCCTTTGTGGAGCGCCCGAGAAGATCTCCTGTCTGGATGCCTCTAGTCTGGTCGCATGCAGTATACACTCATATTTTCGCATGTAAAGCAGTTTATGCAACCATCACGTTGACAATTATTTTCACAGGTACTGTACAGCTCCTCTTTGAGAGTAACGATATCATAGCGATTCGAAGTGGCCTGTAAGGAACCTGTTGGTTTGCTCATCCGGCACATACCTTCCTCAGTCGCCTCTTTGGTAAGGAGTTGCAGGAACACCTCCCTCACCAAGACTTCATCGAGGGCGCACGACAGCGTTGGAATCCTGGTAATCTCTTTCGCCACGTGTTAGAGATTGCTATCACTAGTGACGAGGCTATGGTAGTAGGCGTGTATGAGTGAGGACCCAACGTAAGTTTGGGTGTACTCAGATGACCTTGGAAGAGCGTCAGAGGGTGTACACCATTGTGGAGAGGGACCTCAGGACCTTACCGATAGAGGAACGACTAGAGGTGTGTGGTTCAGGCTGGGGATGCTCAGGTCGGACGGTGTGATGGTAGACCTGTTATCAAATAGAGAAGACCAGTAGAGTGGACCAAGTGGTGGGTATTATACTCAAGTTATATAAGGATGATTGGTGGAGTGAAGTGATAGTAGTTGGTTCTCGCGATAGGGTGTACACTACACTGTAGGTCCTCCAACAACCTGATGTGGTACGGCTCAGTTTAGTAGACAAGTTTACTCAGGCTATACAGACTGCTCTCACTGGTGACTTCAAGGTAGTAGTAGTAGTAGTAGTAGTAGTAGTAGTAGTAGTAGTAGTAGTAGTAGTAGTGGTAGTAGTAGTAGTAGTAGTAGTAGTAGTAGTAGTAGTAGTAGTAGTAGTAGTAGTAGTAGTAGTAGAGTATGTGTTGCATTTCGATGTTAGGTGGTGGACGGTACTGATACCATCATTGGAGCTGTTAATTGGTGTATAATGATATGGTTGGCGGACCCCATCAATAACGCTACGGCTCGGCATATAAGGTCCTCTCAGTGGCTTAGTGGAGTTGTCACTTCCCTGGTAGAGGGTGTGGCCAGCCAGATCGATGCTGAGTTGAGGATAGTAGCCGAGGATAGTGCCGATGAGGAACTGAAGGGTGTGGAGAAGAGCCGATTACAATTGGTGGCGGCCACTGTGGGGAGGTTGAGAGAGTTGCTCACTACAAACACCTTGGCAAAGGATGTTGATGATGATAGTGTTATGACCGATATAAACAAATCCTAATTTATGGTTTCTAAAAGTTTCGAAGTTGTGTTGTTACGGTAGTTATTATCACAAATACGCAACAGGAGAGTAGTGATGGTAGAAGGAACGTTAGCCGACGAAGACCTCAAGAGGTCGACGCCTTCCAGGCTGGAAATAGTGACTAGTAGATTTCAGTGAGAGTATAACTAAGTGTACCATCACTCGGCCTTCTTGTGCTTCATAGGTCGGTATTGACCAATGACCACAGCATGGTCTCTGTGGTAGGGCTCCAAGGTGAGCTGCTCCTTAGGTCTGAGGGCAGAGGGGCAAATGATGACTCTATCGGGCTTGGTTACTTACCTCAGCTTGTCCTTCTTAAGCTTCTCAATCTCACTAGCGAAGACGGCCTCGGGGGCAGCAGTAGAGTCGACACAGTTAGCCTTGATGGAGATGATGTACCATCCATTGTTCTTGAGGAACTGCTGGGCGTTGACAGCAACGATACGGGCCTGGTCGGGCTGGGCCACATCGGCGAAGATGACGTCTACCATGGGGACGAGCATCCTGTAACGGAGGGGCTGACGGGCATCCTCGATGATGGGGACCTGATGAAGGGGATAAGAGGGAAGGAAATACCTTAGAGGGCTTACGATGTTGGGACGCTTCTTGGCCATGTTGGTGAGATCACGACCAGGACGATGGGCGAACTCAACACCATAGACGCATCCAGTGGGGCCGACCATATCGCTGACGTGGGAGACGGTGGTACCAGAGGCAGCACCCAAGTAGAGGACCTTGCTGCCAGGCTTGATGGGCATGTTGGCAACACCACCGACAATGGTAGCACCCAACTTGGAACGGAAGGGGTTCCATACACGGTACTCGATCTTCTCGGGCTGGTCTTGGCCTTCTACTGGCTTCTCAACGGTGATACGCTTCTCACCATAGACGCTCTCACCGGGGGCCATGTTGCGGGTTAGGAGAGCCTCATCCTTACCACGGGATACGAAGCAACCCTCGAAGCGATGGGGCTCGACGATGACCTTGGCGGGTCCCTTATGGCCTCCCTTGCCCTTTCCTCCCTTGCCCTTGCCCCCCTTGCCTTTACCCTTACCCTTGCCGCTCATACCCTTTCCCTTGCCCTTGCCTTTGCCGCTCATGCCCTTCCCTTTACCCTTACCAAAGCTGCCACCTTTCATTGTGGAATCAAAGTCACTACTGAACAGCATGGCGGTGCCTTTTATTATGCGACTGGCTAGTCACAAGACAATCACGAGATCGTATTCTAGCCTCATCTA